AACTGTCACGATGTGACACCTGTCAATTAAAGAAGAAAGAAGCATACGCTTTTGAAGAAACAGCAGTACTGGTATGACAAACACACACGAGTTAAATGATCATGCGACGATTTTCTCGTAAAAAGAAAAACAGAGATCTTACGGAAAGTATTTTTTATTTCCACCGAAAAGCTGAAGTCAATGAGACTCTTTCTACCTAGACACAAAGAGATTTAAAGCGACTATTATTTATCGAGTTCCTCCGTTTCTGCGGTGAAATTTACGACGAAAGTGTATTTTAGGATTTTGAACTGGTGCTGAATAAAATTCTTTCTTAGCCTAAACTTATAAATTCGTTTGTATCTGGCGCATGTCAAACCCATTTGCAGCTTAAAGGTAAAACAGGGATTGTCACTTGCTACATTGGCTTGCCATTAAGTCTTATGCTCGCCTTCGTATGAAATTGTTTTTTTTGTTGTTGTCGTTTTACTAGTCCGCGTTTTTCTAGTCCTCGTTTTATTAGTCAGCGTTTTACTAGTCCGCGTTTTACTAGTCCTCGTTTTACTAGTCAGCGCTTTACTAGTCCTCATTTTACTAGTCCAGTCTAGTCCAGTCCAGTCCAGTCCAGTCCCCAAAATACCATATGCCTCCAGGTTGGGCCGTTGCGGGCCGTTAGCCGTGGGCCCCGGGCCACTGCGCCGCAGGCCTGCTTTCAACAAAACCCAACTTAAACACAGAAAAATGGGCTCACGTCGTGACAAGAACAGCACAGACTACTCTGTATGAAGGTAAGACTATTTCTTTTATTATTTCACACAATTTTATATTTACGGAGCAAAAGCAAGTCCAACTAAACCACTATACAAACTCTATTATAATCCACTGTGAAAGAGCCTGTGACAGAGCCTCGGCCGCCTGTGAGTTGTCTTGAAACACATGGAAAAGTGAGTCCTAGAAAAATTTCTAAAGATTTTTTTTGAGTTATCTTGGTCTCTGGAAAAAAAAAAATTAATCTGCTTCTCATATAGTCAGCTCCTAGCTGTGTTCTAGAACTTTCAGAAAATGTGTGGATTGGGTTTGTTTAACAAATACATAAAATGGCCTTTGGAAAGGAAAACTGAAAGTAGAATAATTATGTCAGGACTTTAAACCAATATGCTACCTGTGGTTGATGAAACACTCTCATTGTTTCCTAAGGCATTTTTCCAATTGCTGAGACTTCTCTGCCCCTATTCCTTATGTATTTTACATCTTTGTTTAAAACCTGTGACACGATTAAGATTTTACATTCTGTGAAGTTGCATGTTTCTGGCAGAACTGTATAGAGAATCTTTTGCTTGTTTTTAAACCCTATTCAACCTATCTGTAGTCCACCTTCATCGGCGGAAACTGCAGATCAGTTCTTGATTTGTTTGACTTTACTGACTTTTGTGGGTTTTCAATTATTAATTTTGAATGTGGCGGTTTTAGTTCACTACTGTACAACCCCTCATGTCCTGGTAACCAGAGACTGCAGGCCTCTGCTTGATGCTATCCATCACATAAATATAAGTTTATTTTCTGAACTTTCATTATTTGATCATGTAGTGCTTTATCCACTCAATAGTAATACTAATCTTGGTCAGGCACATACTA